TTTCATTTTTGAATTCTAGCTTTAACATTGAATCCATTCTTTTCTTTTCCCATGACTGCAATTTTGCTTTTCCAAAAATTATGCCCAAAAGCTTTCTCCTTTTATGTATGTTATAATTTGAAAACCTTGTGTATGCTATTTAATTATTTATTATCTAGTAATATTTATTTTATTATTCATTAAATTATTTTATAACTCATTATTTTAATTAATTAATTATGGAATATTATTGACTATTAATTTATATAATTAATTAATGTTTATTTATAAAAAATATATTAATAATTATTTAAGAAATATTACTTATCATCATCATCATTATATAGAGATAAATTGTTTAATTGATTTGTTAAAAGTAAAACAATGTATCTCACATGTAGAGTTAAAATAGTTAATTGTCACTTGTTAGAACTAAACATTCAAATTTCATAACATTCTTTTCATTATTTAGACTTCAGACTTGTAGAATTTCCACCTGGTTAAGTCTTTCCATGGCCGTAATGTTAAGGTAGGATTGGAAAACCATAATTTTGTTGGTGGAGCCCCTGTGACACCTACTCTAAGTTCGGATTCTTGGAGGATGTCTATAAAGTGTGAATTAGAGGCTAAGATTGTCATTTATGCTAAAATAAGCATTTGTGTGGTAAGTTGTTCACCAAACATCCCCACCCTAATAAGTACTTTAAATACCCAATAAGTGATTTGGCAAATGAGTCACCAAACAATATTAAGTGGTTCAAAATTTCAAATAAGAACTTTACAACAAGTTCTTATTTCTCAAATCACTTAATCACCAAAAATAGCTTTAAGCCGAGTTTTAGAGTGCTTATTCTAATAAGCACTTATGAGAGTTCAGTGATGAAACACTTATTTTAAACACAAGTAGTACAAATATTTTTAAAATGGGTGGTGGGCCAAGATAGGCCAGAAAGGAAATAAGCATTTAACAATATGCCCAAATTTTAGGCCAAGTTTGGGAGTGCTTAAAAATATGTACTTGTTTGAATAAGCACTTATTTTAGGTCAGAACTACACCATTAAGCACTTATTGGTGTTTGGAAAATAAGCCCAAAATAAGTACTTATTAGATAGGCCCAAAATTCCAACTTTTTTAAGTGTTTATACAATAAGCGCCCATTCAATCTTTTTCTCCCATGATTGTCCCTGGTTAATTTTTAGAATACCAGTTATACCCTTTCAATGTCAAAAACGTTGGGCACGCAAATGCAACTAATATAACCCATCTATCATTGGTAACCAGCTCCCACATCCGATACCACCCATTTTCATTCAAAGTTCTAGAACTCCATCCAGATTTATTTTATTTTATTTTTTATTTTTTTGGCTTCTTCTAGTTCTGGTATAAATTTAGAGCATTTCCCACCACATCCTTTTCATTCTACCCTATGTGTTATTTGAGTATCGACGAGACCTAGTCCAACTTCGTGTCCATCCAACTTCCAAGCACCCTTCTTTCTGTTTTATTCTTCTTCTATTGCATGTTTTCGTTGTTGGTGACCTCGTTTATGGATTGGTTCTTGGGGATGAATTCTGATCAATCTTCGACACAATGCCCTCAGTGTCGATAAGAATTCTTCTATTACCAACATATGGAATGCTTACAGTAGGCTTGCGATGGTATAAACCAAGTAGAGAGAGTGTGCCCACCACCCAATGGTAGAGAGAGAGACCACCACCCACATGAGTCTAGCTTAAAATGAGATCAGAATAGGACAAAGTGTGCCCTCCATTGCTATTTCTTGTTGAATTGTATAAAAGGATAAAAATGGAATTCTCTTATGCTTCTTAAATAACTATACATGTCTGTTTTTTTTTTTTTTGATAATCCACAACGTGTCTAAGGTAGCGTTTGATAAATCTGAAATCTGAAAAGTTAAAAAGATATTATTTGTCTAAAATCTGAAAAGAAGCATAGGTGATTTTCTACTTTTTAAAGGTTCTGAATCCATAAGTTTGTTTGTTTTGGATCAAACCTTTACCATATGAAATTCATTGATTTTACTATTTTACCCCTATAATATACTATTTGGAAATGTTTATTTCAATTCGCATTATCTCATGAAAAAATAATTTTCAACTTCGAAATAATATTGAAACAATACAAATAATAAATAATAAATTAATAATTAAAAAGTACTAATTAATAAATGAAATGATTAAAATTAAAGATAATAATTAATGACTATAAAAATATTAAAATAGTTAATAATTAATAATTTACACAAATAAAACTTAAAATAAATTTTAAAAATTAATGGAATAATTAAAAATTACTAGTTAATAACAATAATTAATGTTTAATAAAAAATATTAAAATAATTAATAATTATTTTTTATTCAAATTGATTGAATACACCGCCGCTGCAAGTTGTAGAGGCGATGGCAGGAAGACAGGAGAGAGAGAGAGAGAGAGAGAGAGAGAGAGAATGGGGTATGTGTATTTTTTACTTTAAGCCACGTTTAAAACATATCTAAGTGCATTAAGTGACGGGCCTAAGTCTTAAAATTCAGATATAAAAAAACTTTTCAGATTATATTTCAAATGCAACACCAAATAAGCATTGCATCTGAAAAACATATATTTCAAACTTCATATGTCTGAAATGTGTTATGAAGCGCCACCTAAGTAGACATCTATAAATCACAAAACTTAATGAGTTGTAATTGAAATTGCATGGAGTATTTATTTGGACAAATTTAACTACTCTATACACTTGGAGTTACATGTTGATTTGTAGATGAATTACAAATTACTTGGAATCTCTAAGAAGTGGCAATAGATTTTTAAGGCTTTTGGACTTTTTCTTAACTTAAAATAAAATACCCCTCTCTTGAAATACTATTTTTCATTCCATTATATTGTCTCCCATTAAGTCTCATATTTAAGGTTAACTTCCATTATCTCTCGTTGAATCATATGTTAATGTATTTTTTGTTTCTCATCATTAAATTTCACTAATTAAATTCATGAATAACAATTTTAATAGTATAAAAACTTATGTATTCAATCAATTTGAAAAAAAAAGGGTTTTAGGTATCATCATAAGAAGAATTTATATGAATAATATAAATGGAATATAAAATTTAAAATTGCATTAGCAATGAAACCACTATCATGTTTGTTAAATGATGGAAATGGAATACAAAATTTATGAAAAAATAAAATTAATGTCTATTCCATCACCTTACTAAACAAATCAAATGATTCAGTTGTTTGATTAGCTAGGTCACCATGTTATTGGCCAAGTCAATGATTTTTTATGAATAAACAATTTGGTGGAAAATGAACCTAAAATCCTGGTAAAGTAACTATTCAATTAGTCTGATCAATCTCTTAGAAAGTAATGGTTCAAATAGCACAATGATTAAACTGAAAATACTGATATATGCTATAGAGTAAGAAAAATTGATACAAGTCTTTAAGTTGAAAGGCAATAAATCACCAATGTTTATAGAATTATTGTTGTTGTTATTATCATTTGAATTGTCACGTGCAAAGCATGTGCACATTTACTTGTGTGTGTGTATTTATATATATATATATAATAAGCTTGAAAATTTGTCCAAGCTAAAAGTGATCACCCCTAAAGAAGAGTTAGGGAAAGAAGGGAAATGTGGAAAGCTTATACAACAAGGTAGGGGAGGCAAGGAAACCTATACAATAATTTGGATTTTGTCTTCACAAAATTTGTTCTCACGTTGTCATTCCAATGCACAATTGTTGTGAGGACGGTGTGAGAGCAAATTTTGTGAGGATGAAATTCGGATCTCCATATACAAGATTTGTATTGGTACCTTACCTTTCTCTTCCTTTCACTACCTTTTTTTTTAAACCAAACACAGCGTTACAAGATGACCTATGAAAACATACCATTGCTGATTTTAGTGTCTTGTTAAGTTGTTAATCATGAGACGACCAAGAGGAATATGGGTGGTGTTTAGAGAGAGAGTGAGAGTCAATTGGATTGGATCTGGTCTAATCTGATCTAGCCCAATGTGAGTCCATTACAAATGGACCAGGTCCAATCCAATCCAATGAATATTTTGGACCAGTCCAATCTATCCAAATTTGTTTTAATTTAGATTAATTCTAACCTAAACCTGGTCCACAGACACCTATATTCTTATCTTCTATCAATGGACTTAATATTGACTCAATATAATCAAATCCAATATAAATTCATTATGGATGGACCAGGTCCAATCCAATCCAATAAATACTTTGGACCATTAAGTCTGGGTTGGTCCAATTCAGTATGTCTTATTGATCTGTCCAATCTGCCCAAATTGATTTTTGTTTGGATGGGGACCAATCCAAAACTGGTCCGTTGACACCCATAGAGAGTGGGAAGGACAGGCCTAAGCTTGGGTTGTATTATCACGTTTTGGATCTAGTTGGTGCATTCCTATTGGTATTCTAGGGAATAGGTAACCAGCAGCTAGTGGTGCAAGTTAGGTAGGCTGGGTAATGTTTAAGCTCAACCTGGGCCCAACCCTAAGAATTGGGCCTATGGCCAGAGCCCGATCAAGGCCTGAGGTCAAGCTTGAATTGTTCAATCCGGGCTTGGTCTAAATCGAAATTTGATACACTCGGGTTCGGCTCAAGCCTAGGCCGGACTTGGGTTGATCAATCACCCCACTTTAAAATTTAATATAAATGTTATCTCTGTCTCTCTCCCCTATATAATATTATTTATCAAAAGAAATATGCATATATGTATTTGTATATGCATTACTGTATGTTCATGGGTGAACCAGGCTCAGGCTAGGATAAAGTAGGATTGGGCTTGGGCTATCTAAGGGCTAGGCCCGGGCCCGGCCCGCAAAATAGAAAAAGCCCAACTTTTGGGCCCAAGCCCAGACGAGATCCTAAAGTTCAAGCCCAATCCGTTGAAAATTGCAGGCTGGGTCGGTTCGGGATCTGGTTGGACCCGCCCGCATCGCTACCAGCAATTTTGGTGGTGTTTTGTGGCAAAAGCGTGTCTGGCTCCTGAGCTTCTATCGCAGAGCCCAGGTCGTTCCCCGCGCGGAACCCAAGTTCAAAGAGAAAGCCTTGGAGAGAGAAAGGGCGGGACTGTACTGTAGAGTAGTCTCTCTCTCTCTGGTTCTGGAGAAATGTCTCACCAGCCCATCCCAGTGGAAATTTCCGACGAGGATAACGAGCCTATCTCTCCTGTACGATTCCTCAACAAGAAACAGAGAAGAGACAATAATGCAAGCTTGCCCACCGTTCTCGTTATCGACGACGATCCCACCCCTCATAAACCAAATCATACTGCCACACCCTCGTTTGTCCCCGAAACCCCAATGTCCAATCATGGCAACTCCGAGGTTTCCATCGTCAAGTGCACTGCTGGTCTCTCCGATCCCAAAACCAGGTTCTCGGATGAGAAGTTTTCTGGTAGGTGTTCGGTCTGAATGCATCGGTATCTTTTATTAAATTCACTGTAATTTGGGTGATTATCGTTTGTTGTTTGTGTTCTTCGATGTTCTGTAGGTTTATTTGTTCTTTTAGCTTTGACTTGAAGTGACTGGATGAGCATGAAATGTTGTTCATCATTTTTGCTACCCGTGACGGGTTGAGAAAGTTGATAATTGGGAGTGGTTTGGCTTTGTTTGTACTTTTGGCAGGAATTAGCGGTTTGATATATTTGGAGTCCGATAGCGAGTCCGGAAGTGGCTGTGAGAGAGAAAGTTTGAAAGAGAGTGAAATCATGGATATACGTTTTGATGTAGCAAGGCGTCCAGAAATGAACTCCACATTCTTGGAACCTCCATGTTCCCTTGGTAATTATATTTTACTATTTTTCTCCCACATAATATTAACTGTATGTTCCTTTTATTTGGATGATAGGGCGGGCATCTAGGGATATTGGGTGTTGGAGATTAATAACTCTTGTTACTAGACAATTTTTTTTTTTTAATTAAGATTAAAAGTTATATTTTCAATGTTACACCTGAATTATTTTAAGTTTTAACTATGTAGCAAACTAACACTTTTCGTTGTAAGGTTTATAAATTTGGAAAAAAGAATTGCCTTTTGCAGTAAGATATATTTGTTCATCATTTTTATGGAAGTAACAAACTATGCTACCAGGGAATGCCAATTTAGTACAAGTTAATGGGGAAAATCCACGCAACTATGATCTTGAAGGTACTGTTTGTCAGGTAGTTTGTTATATCTCTCTAGTAAATTTGGTGTTAGATGAGTTGTCAACATTACTTACTCAAATGATCAAACACTTTTCATTTGCATGTACTTTAAAGTATGGTATCTCTCCTTAATTTATGCCTTATGAATGTATATGTTGAGCTTACATGTGTCTCATTGATGCGATTAGATCACAGAGTAAAGGGTATCTTATTGTATTTCTTTAGTTATCAAACATCATTTACATATTGAGAAATAGACATTTGATTCTACTGTTTAAGAATTTTAAAAGCATCAATATGTTCAGGACATTTAAACACTGTAATTCTTAAGAACTTAATACAGGATTCTTTGAAGAATATAGATGCTTCCTCTCAAATTTATAAACATAATTGCCAATAAAAAATGGAACATGGATTCAATGAAAATTATCAATGACCTTGAATGGTTTTTCTTCTAATTGTTATCAAGCTTAGATGAGTGATTTGTGATTGAATTTTTACTCCATACAGTGGATCACATTAAACTTTTCCTTGTCATGCAATTTATTAGGAAAAAAAAGGTCTGGAATATGGAAGTCTGACTTGTTTGCAGATGCAAATAAGTGGATCTCAGATGATTCAGAAAACTAAGACGTGGGTTGTCTTAATACTGAAATAGAGTGCAAGTATTCCTGAATCATCAACATCCATTTGACTAGAAATTGAGTACTCTCTCTTGAATGGTTATCAACACGCCAATTCCATTTGTAATTTCTATGATTTTTTGTGTGAAAAAAAAAACGATAGCTGCACATATCATATTCTTTTATGGTGACTTATGGTATTCTATTTATTTTCCTTTTTCTCCTTACTTGTTATCTGTCTTGAAGTTCCATTACCTAAGGGTAAATATATTTTCAGTATAAGTATGTAGACGAACAACTTTTCAAACTCAGGAATTTAAATTTAATACTTTTGCTCATTCTCCAATGGGCATTGAGCTTGTACGTCACACTTTTCCTGTATGAGTATGGCAGGACTGAAAGTTGAACTCTTCTTGAAAATCTTGACATTTTGTCCTTCTATTGCTTTATTGCATCTGAATGAAATGAATGGTGTATATCTCAGGAAATGAAATCACCCCCTTCAACCCTGCAAATGATAATGACTTCAAAACATTCCATGTAGGTAGATGCTGATCATAACAAGGAAAATGGTATGCCAGAACAAGCACTTAATGCAACAAAGCAGAAAAAGAGAAACTGTGGAACTAATACAGAGAAAAAAAATCAGAAGGAAGAAGCAATGGCCAAGAAAAGGCAAATGAAAGAAGAAAGGAATCACTTAATTGAAGAAAGGAAACTAAAGAGGGAGGTCAGTTCTTTCGGTATAGCTTTGTTTTGGGACTATTAGTTTATGTAAGATGCATTGACCTGATTAAGATTCCATATTCAGCAAGAGAAGTTGCAAAAAGAAGCTCTAAAAGCTGAAGCAGCAGAAAGGAAAAAAATGGAAAAAGAAAAGCAGAAGTGGGAGAAAGGGAAGCTTGCGGTAAAATCTATTGTAGCCAAAATTGACGCTAAAGTAGTTGAACTGGGGTCTGTTGGAGGTATGCCACATATTTTCCTATTTGTTATTCTTCTTAGAAACAGATAGTTCATCTGAATATATGCGTGCCATTTATCCGCAAATCTAGTATTGTTTACATGTATTACTTTCTTCATTCAGGACATCTCCTTACTAGGTTATCTGAAAAAGGTCTCACTTTCCGTATAACCAAGAATCCAATTGAAAGATCAATTTTATGGACAATGGATGTTCCTGAACAAATTGCAGAGGTAACGTAAAGCTTAAATTTTATTAGCAGGGTGATAATGGGTTTCCAGGCCTTTCTCTTCTGTTTAGTTTCTAAACCTGATCGTCTGAAATATTAGTGTATCCTTGATATTCTGTAGATATGTATTTTTAAGGGCAGGAATAACAGAAACTGGTTGTTATAGATTCAGTATGCAGCAATTAATTTGGTTGGCAGTTTCTGTAAATAGGGCTATGTGGTAATTGGGTTTGGGGTCAACTTTGGTTGACTTGGATCTTATTTGATCAGGTGATTGTGAACTAAATGCTATTGCTTTTTAGTTCAGGCTGAGTGGCTGACATGGTTGACTTTTGTATAGTCATCAATTCAATTCTGGAGAAGAATATTTGCTTGGCACTTATTGCCAATATCCACATGTCATAATGTGAAAACACAGTTTATCCTGGTGTCAATTGAGAGTATGATAGTGCAATGATTCAATCAAGAATTCAAGGAGCCTAGATCTTATGATTTACTTTTGTGGGTGGGTGGGAGGAGTCCAACATGCTCTTAAGCAACAATTACATTGACAAAGTTGACTGAAAAAAGGATCTAAAATAGTTCAAAAAATTTGCAAGATATTCTGAACCTTAGATACACATTGACATTCCAGAGTTTTGACTTTTGAAAGTTTAAGAAATGGCTTATGAATGTGCCTCTTGTGCATGACATGAAATCAGGATTCTCTTGCTCATCTTTTTGATTGAGTGGCTTGTATCACCTGGATTAATATATTGTCTCAGAATGACTTCCAGTAAGTGTTTCTGGTATGCAAATGCTACTGGACTTTTCTTCTGTTGAGTTTGATCCTATTTATGTGTTTCCTGTTTTGCTTGGAAACCTCATTGAAGTTCTGATGCATCTCAGGCTCAAATTATATTATTTGGAACACTCTTTTGCAGGAGATGTTAATTTTGTTAATTTGTTGCAGCTTTCATCCAAGGGATCAAAAGTTCCATACGTTTTACTTGTTTATGAGGCTGAAGAATTCTGTAATATGGTCATCAATCAATCCTTCCTGGATCATGTTTCTAGAGTTCAAAATTTTTACCCATCTTACACAGTCTGCTACCTCACAAACAAGTTAATGGCCTATATCAATAAGAGGTATAACCATTGGAGAGGTACCCCTCAGGAGTTAAAACATCTTTATATTTTTATTTTTGTAATGTTTGCTGTTATTTAATTTGCACCACTCTAAGTGCTTATGTGCTTTATCCAACATGATATCGTCATGGCCTTGGATGATCTAATCTCTCATAAATAATTGAAAGACAGATAGGTTGTGTAAGCTCTGTATTTGACCCAATTAATAAAATTCTCTTGCTCTCCCCCCCTCCCCCCTTCCCCCCTTTTGTAATGTTTGCTGTTGTTTTATTTGCATTGCTGTAAATACTTCTGTGCTTTAATCTAACATGATATCATGACAACCTTGGATGATAGGGAGGGAGGAAGGGAGAGAATATTACTAATTGGAGGGATGATGTGACAGATCAAAACTGTCCATGGGGTAGGGGACTGACCCTTATTGGTAAGGTGTTAATCCTCTAGTTGACATCAATCCATACACTACCTTTCCCTTTGTGGCTTTTACAACAAATATTATCTGTTCATAGTTTTAATCTTCTAATACAAGTGTTACCCAAGAAGAAGGCTTATTGTGGACATATTACTGCTACTTTGGGCTGAAATTTGCCTCATGAATAGAGTTGTCTTGACAAACATGTGGTCCATTTTTGGCTTCTAACTGAATTGTCATATATGATATAAATTAAGCAATGTAGTTCATGCATATATGTGTTAATGGTGTTTATGATTTCAATGGGTGGCCTGCTTCATACACGTCCTTGTGTTAATGTGTTTAGAGCTGGAAAACATGATATTGGACCATTCAATTTATTATTGAGAAGCTCTAGCCCTAACTTTGGATCAAATTGAGAATGCATGTATCAACTTCAATGATAGTGTTCCATCATGCATTATTTTTATCTTTATTTTTGTGTTGAATAACTTGACAGTTTTTTTTTTTTTTTTTTTTTTTTATATATATCTGTTTGTAAACTTGTCTGAACATTTTCAGATTCTAGTTTGTTTATCTTATGTATGTTGGTCTGCATTTAATTTGGTTTGGTAATAAACTATACCACTGCTGCAATAATTAGAACCCTGGGGTTTTGACATTGACTTAGGGAACAGAGCCAATACAAGAATCCTTCAAATGATAGTTGCTGGAAACGCCCACCAGTTGAAGAGGTTGAATGTCCAAAAATTTTGAAGATTTCAACTTTCTATCTTTTTTGTAGATTTATCTGAAATATGTCTATTTTCCAGGTGCTGTCAAAATTAACCACACACTTTGATAGGGTACATTCCAGGCAATGCATAGATGAAGCTGAGATAGCTGAACATGTTGTTGGTTTGACATGTAGCCTTGCCAATTGCCAATTTAGGTGTGTACTTAGATTTTCTGACCTTGTATCTTAAATAGGAGCTATTCTTGTCAATGATCTTTTCTAATTATCATTGCCTTTGGTGAAAGCTTGTTTTCTGTGTTTCAATTTCTTGTCTCTTTTACAATAAAATCTTGTGAAGAGTTACCATTATTCTGTCTCATCATTTACTGTCATATGCTGAAATTTTGAAGCATTACTAATGCATAAATATCATAATTAAATAAACTCCCTTACTGTCATTGTTTTGATTCTTTAAAGAGTAGCACCTCTTTCATTTTCATTAGAATAGGAAAACCAATTATAGAAATTAGAATGTGTATTAGTTGAATGGTTCTTTCTCCAAAACCAATTATCTTAAGATTACCATTCCATGCACTTCTTTCCCTTCTTTTTTGGGATTTAATTGTTTCATTTACTTAACATTTGTGAACAAGCGGAATGATATTTTGTTTGTAACTTGACATGCTAGCATTTAATTCAAGTTTTGAACTTAAAAAATTAATGTGAACACTACTAAGAACTGACCAATTGGGTGAACCTTATTAGGCCTTGGTGTGATTGTGATACATGTAGACAAGGTGGGCATGTAAATGTTACACTTGGAAGCAAGGATTACTTTGGAAGAGGGAAACGAGGATTAAATTTTGTAATCATGAGGATGGACAAGTATGATTTATATGTTTGTAAAATAACATTGATATCAAAATTAGTAATATTCACATATTGTTCATTCAAGTATTTATTATCTAAAAATATACCATTTTTGGATATTATCTCTCTAATGTAGGATCATCTAAAAATATACCAAGAACAGAAATTGCAGAATTGCTGCTATCATACCTACACTTAAAGAACACATAATGATTCATATACTAATTCTGAATACAGCTAAACTATGATGACAAATAAAGTACTAGGCTGGACCCACAAGCAACCTGTAAAATGACCTACTATCTAAAATACAAAAATACCTATTTTCCAAAAAAAAAGTCCAGTTTTAAGTTTCTCGTTCCTGCATCACTCTATTTCCTCTCTTTCTGAAAGACATAACCACTAACACAAGCACATAGGTTCAGCCTAATTATATCCACATGTTGAGAGCAGATAGCACAGACTAGTGCCAAAGGAAGAAAATCCCAAACATCTCACCTTGTGAGGAACTCCTCGACAACAAAAACAGTTATATAATAACTTGGCTAGTTCTTTGTCAGGGTAACTCAAAGTCCAGTACCACCTTGAAGAGTGAAGAAGCAAGGAATTAGACCAGATTGACAGAGCTGTAGTAGAATAGCTGGTTGTAATAGGCTTATCTTTTAATGAACCCAAACCACTATGACTTACCAGAAATGAAAATGAATTTCATATAAACTATTCTGTGAAATTATTTCTGTGTTTGCTTTTGTTATTGCATCTGTGTTGATAAACTTTTTGAATTGAATTTCTTCCATCTGATGTTTAATTTCAGAAAGAAGTTGACACGCCTATCAGTAAATGCTAATGGAGCCCTTATCCCCAAGGATTTCATTGATAGGAACTTAATAAAAAATAATGTGTGGTGAGTTATTCTTTTCATACTGATAATGAGATTGCCTATGAAAAAAGTACTTGGTTTCAATATCAATAAAAAAGTACTTAGTTTCAAAGTTTTATTGTATTAAAATGTCAAAATTTCATGTATTCATTGTGAGCTATTTATTTCATACCAGTCATGAGATTATCTATGGCAGTGCTGCTTGGTTTTATATGCTCTATTCTGTTAATTGCTTTTCTTGTTAATGTCAAACCTAATAACTTTATCAATCATGTGTACTTCTCTTCTTTGATAACTGAATGTTCAGAAAATTCATATTCATCCACTACCACTTATATTGTTGTTGTTATTGTAGTTATTTATTGGTTCATCCTGTCAAATATTATGTATAATGTTTACATTGTGATGTGGTGCTGGCAAAAAACTCCAAAATTCAGGCAACTAGTTTGCTTTATGGTAACTAATTTGGTGCAGTTTTCTGTAAAATTACCTCAAAGAAGATAGACCATCCCTAATTTGAATTAAAGCAATAGCCCCCTTCAAATCTTGATTAATCCATGCATTGAGACGTAAGAAACTGCTACCCTGGTACTTTGCATTTTTTTAGCTAATCCCATACAGTTAGGACAAGGCTTTGTTGAGTTGATTCGAGGTATACTTCACATGTTTCTCCTACTTATATTGGAATGGCATGATACTGTCATTGCTGTAGCCTCCTACTTATATTGGAATGGCATGATACTGGCATTGCTATAGCCACACCGCACACTGCATATGTAATTCTGAACTACATTTTTGTTGATAGCATGGTACTTTTGGTTGTTTTTCTTTTTAAACGATTTGAATACATGGTTTTCCTAAATTGGCAAGTGCTTACTTCTGGGCTGCAGGGCCTGTAAAATAATCTGGGACCATATAACTTGCCACATCTCCCATAATTTAAGTTCAGACTCACCAATAAATTGGATCTGCCATGAAGATAAACTAGGCAAATTATTGTCTTGCAACATGAATAATTGCTTGTTATTCTATACATCTGGATAGAGAAACAGGACTCTTTGCTCAAGGGTAGTCTATTGTGCTTATTATCCATGTAGGCAATCTTTGTAGCAAATCTTACTATTTGAGAAACTAAAAATATGAAAATTTCCTTATATTTAGTGTAGTAAAGCACAGTGGTAGTGATACATAGCTTAACAACTAAAACTGAAGGAGTAGAGTTAGCATCTCATGGCACACTCGTATTTCTGTAGTTGGGATGTTGAGATGTGTGGTATACCACTATCTCCTCTATTTTTATTGTGAAAAAGCAAAAAAGTAAGATAGTGTATTTATATAACCATGCAAAAAGGAGATACATCAGCCCATGTACAATGAGAACCTGTACATTGGGAATATACAAAAGGAGTATTCAGCCAAAAAAGGTCCAACTTGTAAAAAAAAGAATTGAGGCCTTGTTTGTTTTTCCGGAAACCACTTACCGTGCTTACCTGGGCAAATGTTTCCTGGGAAACACTTACCCAGGTAAGTGCACTTACCAGTGTTCTTTTGTTTCCCAGGTAATGTTAAACAATGACTGTTTTGTCCATGAAAGTGTCATTGTTGAAGGGACAATGTTGTCTCATCATATGTTAGCAATTTTCCCCATGGGCAGGATAGTTATTTATCCAAGTGGGTGGAGGATAATACTTACCCAGCTAACTGCTGCATTCAGGATTTGTTCTTTTCTGTGGGACCCACTAATACCGAAAAATGGACATGGATAAATTGGTCAACTCTCATGCTGACCAACTTACCTGCCCCTGTTTACCGAAAAACGAATGAGGCCTAAGTTGGGATGCCCTCAAATATTCTTTGTACACCCAACCAAGAACACAACAAGCCTGTAAGGTTATTTTTAATTTCCTCCAAGTCAGTGAATGTGTTGCCAAAAATCTGATGATTTCTTTCCTTCAAATTAACCAGGCGATGGCAGCTGGAGAAGTATTCCATAGAAGCTTGCCCCTTCTATTTAATCCTTTAACTGTCCATCCTTACAGAAGCTGTAATAGTGAATCCAGGAAGCAGAAATGAAGGCCAATGCAGGAAGTTGCCATTATCCATACCTGGTAAGAGTACTTGTATTGGATGAAGAAATGATTTGAAGACTCTGGGACTTCGTGGCATAAAGAAGAGAGAGCATCAGATAGGGGCAACCCTCTCTTATTAATTTGTCCGTTGTCAGACACCCTTCATGAGTGGCTGTCTAAACAAGAAATATCTTTGATGGAATGTGGGTGCACCAAATTCTGGCCCAAGGAAAAGCATTTTTCCTACATAGGAGATTAAGTGAATGGTTTCACTGAGAACTCGCATGATTTCTCCCAAGACCAAATCCTGTCATCATCCAGACTATATTAGGTTTTATGCCCTGAATGAGATTTAGAAGCTCAAGGGTGGGCCCCAAATTATATCTTCATTCACTAGGCAAAGCACTCTTCAACTGTAGCACTGGCATCCTTATCTTGGGGAGTTTTTCTCTCAGTGTAAATTCCCCATACCATTTGTCTTTCTAGAAGCTGATTTGATTGCCTTTCCCTGTAACTGGTTCCTTTCTGGAACTCAAGGAGAACTTTTTGGATGTTGCTCCAGACTGCACACACCATTGGGGAGAAGCCAGGCCTAGAGTCCCACCTGTGTCTTGTCAGTTAGTATTTTTCTGCTATAATCATTTTCCATAAGCTTCATCTTGCCCTGTAGAACCTCCAGCACCATTTGCCAAGAAGAGACTTGTTGATTTTTCTGATATTCCTGACACCAAGGCCTTCATATTTTGTAGGTTGGCACATAGTATTCCAGTTCACTAAGTGAAACTTAATCTGTTTCTCCATCCAGCCCACAGGAATGCCCTCATTTTCCTCTCTAAATGTTTTGCAACACTGGTGGAAACTTGAAAGAAAGATAGGTAGTAGATTGGGAGGGAGGACATAACACTTCTAATCAAGGTAAGTTTTCCACCTTTTGATAAATATTTTGATTTTCACATAGTATCAAACCTTTCCATGATTGCTTCCCATATTCTCTTAGAACTACTTTTTGCACCGAGGGGTAAGCCAGTATAGGTGGTTGCTTATTTCCCAGTTTTGCAGCCCAAAATGCCAGCTAATTGGTCAGCCATGTTCTCTTCCCATGTCAGCATTATTTCACTTTTTGGTAAATTAATTTTAAGCCCTGAAACCATTTCAAACCACCTTAATAAATAACCCAGATGGACCGGTTGATCTGCTGAAGCATCACAAAAGAAAATGGTGTCATTTGCAAATTGAAACAAAAGAATTTGCTTCATATTATCACAAGCCTTAAAACCAATTTTTAGAGAATCAGACCGTACATAGAACCGGAAAGGGAAGAGGTTCATGGGTCAAATGTTCAACCATGGTCAAACTGGAGGTCGAACTGTGATGATGTGGCATATACATGTATATACCACGGGACACATAAATACTATAAATAATGTATTGTACAAATAGTGTTCTATTTGAGTATGGTGGATAGATGGTTAGTTCTTTAATTTTTAAAGTAATTGACCAGGGTTCAAAACTCCTAAATCACATTTTCTTTGCATTAATGCAATATGTAGTTATGTAAAGGATTCATAAATAACACAAATAATGAAGTGGATTAATCATTAATGGTAACGACTAACAAGACAATAAAAAAGGTCAGGGTTCAAATCTTGATATTTTCAGTTTGAAAATTCCACATATTTGAGACCCAAATGGTTTTAGGAAACTGGGATTGGTTCACTGGTTCTCCGGTTAAACTGGCTGGTCAGCTGGTTTTGGGTGGTTTTCTACCTATTCCAGTTTCCTAAACACTGCTCAAAACCTTGAATGTACCCTCCTTGGCTCCTTCAACTGCCCATGTCTGAGCTTACTCAAGGCCTCCATGACTATATTGAAGAGTGTTACAACTTGAGAAAAAGGTGAGAAAAGAAAAGGAAAAGAAGGGAAAAAGGTTGAGAGAGAGAGAGGTCTTGTGCAGTAGAAAGCAAGGAGGAAAGAAAGTGAGAGAGAAAAGAGGTCTTTAGGAAGAAGATACGGATCCAACTCTTCTCCCCTATCGACCTGAACGGTTATTCCACTATTTAGAATGTGTAAACTTACAAAAATGCCCCTGTCAAGTGATTCTTAACAGGGGAAATACAATGCTTTACCAAAAGACAAAACTGCTCTCTATGGCCATACATTTCAACAAAGAGAAATGGAGACAGTGAGTCTCCTTGTCTAAGACCCATTGAACTTTTAAATTTCGCACAAGATGGAGTGGGTGTGGTGACACATACATTGATCCAGTTGCTCCACTTGGATGTAAAATTCATTCTGGCCAACATATAGTCAAGGAAGCTCCAAGTAATGGTCAAAAGCCTTTTCAGCCTTAAAGATTATCCCACTTCTACCTTCCCTTTTTCTTGACTTGAGTCAACCAACTCATTAGCAATAAGGACCTCATCTAGTATTTTCCTCCCTTCCATAAAAGCTTCCCCCC